ATTGCTACAGCTCTTACCACCTTTCTGACATCTCATTTTAATCTAGTGAGAGAAGCTAGTACTAAAGGTAAACCTGTCTATAGATTTGCTGATAGCTATCAGAAGCTTAAGTCTGCTATGAGCTAAATTTGCTACTATTATTTCTTTTGCTTACTCAATGCCACTCAGTTCAATTTTTAAATCAATTATTGGAAGCCTTAGTCAAAGAACGCTTTGGACCTTATCCACTACTATATTTTTCATATGCATTATCAAAATTACAACCTTATCCAGCTTGGGAGAACAAAGCTTTGTTGAAAATTAAGTAATTACATGATAAAGCTATTAAGGACGAGATATGTTTATTCGCACTGATTATGATTAACCCAATAGATGTAGTAATGCTGACTTGGTTATTATTTCTAGTATGGTGCTATTTGATTGCATAGGAACCCATCCTACTCTAATAAAAGCAACTGTTCAATGCTTCATGCTTGAAGCTATGATGAAAATGATCAATCTGGTATGTTAAAGGCAATTTATCATACATTACTGATATTTACTGCGTAAAGTGCAAGTATAGTACATGTAATGCATACGTTAATCAAATGATCTTGCATCAACTAGTGAAAAATCATTCATCATTAACTTTTTGATTTCAGAATTTTTATTCTTACCTCTCAGTTCATGCTCTTATAACAATTGATTGTATTGCACTATTCAAACTAGCCTATTTTTAATATTTGTTTACTAATTTTATTTTATAATCAATGTGTTTATCTCTATTTCAAATTCCTTATTTGTTTGCAGCAAAATACATCGTTACTAGATATAGCTAATTGCCTTGTGGTGTTTCGTAAAGAGGAATGCTTTGTTAGAGGAAGATCTTTATGGCTTAAAGTAATTTCGAGATTAGCAAGTTACAATTCAGCATTGATAACAGATATTTAGTTCACTGTATAATAACTTATTATAAGTAAGCTAACTTTCATTTTTATAAGGTTTGCAATTGGTTAAATGTAGCCTCACCCGATACTTCTTGCCTTCCGAATTGCGTATTAAAAGTGCTCATAAACAAAAGTGTAATGGTGGAGTTTTTAAGAACTTCTGTCGCTGATGTTATGGATAATCAAAACCCGGATATAAGTCCGCCCTCTAATAATCTTCGGATTATTAGTATACCTGCCTTAGCTAGACTCCTAGTTTTAATAGGTGACTGCTATACTTCAGAATCAGAGAGTCAATTAAAAGAAGAAAGGAAAGATAAACTACCCACGTTACCCTGGCAAATTATTCTGGAACCTGCGATTTCAATAATTAACAGTTTAAAAAATAGCACCTACATATCGCAGGAAAAAACACAAAATGCTATGATGCTAATATTTGCTATTTTATTGGAACTAAATCGTAAGTAATTCCATGCATAGGTTTTAAACTATCATTAGCCTTGACTTGAAATATGATTTTTTACGTTTACAGTCGACGATGCTATTATCCAACAGCCACCGTATTGCATTGTGAATAAACAACTTCAATTAGTTTTTGCCCCTTTAATATCTATTCTGCTACAGTATGCTCGTTTACAATTACCTAATTCTGATGCTCAGGTATGTACCCTCATATTGCTGATATAACACATAAATTTCCTTACAGTATTAAGTTTGCAAGAAATATACGAATATATATATTTATTGTACGTATACTGCTCAGATACTTGTATTATTGATAACTTTATTAATTAATAATGTAATCCCGCTGTACTTTCGTATGCTCAGAGATTTTCATTAGTATAAAGCATTAAATTCGAAACGCAAAGTGTAAAGATAGAAGACTACTAATACACTATTTTATTAGCTTTTATACTTTAGATATTTTATTTTGCAGATTGCTGCCAGATTTAAAAGTAGTCGACTTTGTCTTAATGTCCTGGAAGAGTTAATGAAGCTTTTGTGGAAAGAAGACATCGCTAATGATGTCTTAGCTGATAGTGCAAATGCTATATTCGCTCTGACAGCATCATGTTTTAAGTCGCTTTCAAACACAGAAGCTATTGAGGTATTATGTTTTGAAAACTCTGTTGACATTATAATTACAGTAATTCTTTATTTCTACGTAATTTATTTACTATTGTAGCAACACCATTATTGTTCACTTATTTGTGCCTGTATTTTTTTAAGCAAGGGCCATTAGACAACATCAATTCAGTTATGACAGCTGCATGGACTAGTAAAATCTTAACAGCAGGCTCTACATTAGATTTCGCAAAAACTCCCCATTATCTGCAAATTATTACCTACATTAAAGAATACATTCCGAAGGTAATCGTTATAAGTGATTATCGCAAGAATTATGTTGATGTACATTCCCAGGCAGAAAAATCATTCAAAGGCTTAGTAACGGCTGAATATATAAGATGTCAATGGCAGTGTATAGCATTCTTGATTAGCTTGGCCAATAATAAATCCAATAGTGATAGCACATCAGCGTCGACGATGTCGCTTATAGAAATATGTTGTAAATCTCCAGTGGGACTACTAAATGATGCTATTGATTCCTTGGATGTTGCTCCTATTAACACTGCTGATTCTATATTACAGTGTATCCAGCTATTGTTGCCAATGGTATATGATGACACTTTCATTTTTTGAATTAGCTTTATTATTATAGCATTTGCAATGAACAGAATTTTAACGCTTGATGGATATTTACTTCTCATAAATAATTTTTTTATGTACTAACGACAGGCTTTCAATGAAGATGAATCAGTCTGTCTACATGCAATTGACTGTCTATGGCAGCATGTCAATTACTGCAAGCAAAGTCATGATAACTTTTGGCCTGTATTGGCCTCATTTATTGCAACGATATTACAATCATACTTTATCCAGTGTATTAATTTAGATTCTATTCACGTGATGATTACGAAATATATCACGAAATTATTAGAAATGAGCAAGTCTCAACAAGGTGTATCGAACTATTTAGTTAGCCAGTTTAATTTGGTATGGACGGAGTTATTGTTGCAGCCAAATCAATTAAGTTCGTTACATAAAAATGCAGAAAATTTTGTCAAAACGGTTTTATTGTGGGCTTGTACTCATGGAAATAGCTATAGGAAAGATATTATGTACGTTGATTAATGCTTTTAGTAAGTGATTTTAATCGTTATCTGTTAATATAACTAAGTAATACTAATCTGATAGGCATCTGCAAGACTCGATATCATTCATAAGGAGCTTAGGACAAACATTTCCCGTTAATCAGTTATTTGCCGTGTGAGATGTCTATTTATCGCATTATCATAGAAATAGAAGATTTGATATACTGTAGAATTCAATCGATTTATATTTTAATGCTTTACCATCACAATGTGTAACGTAGGGGTATGGTAATATATTCTTTATTATATTAGAACAAAGGATCGATGTGACTATCTCGTAAGGGTCCAAGCAATTAATATGTTGTGCCAGCTATCAGTTAATAATGAAGGACACAGAAAATTTATTCAACAATATATGCTGCATTTACTTGAAATGGTATACTGTGTAGTATTTTATATCTTTGGTGGAGTTTTACCGAACGTCGATGAATAATTATAAAGCCGATGTTAAAATAAACACTTTTAATTTTAGGATCAGAAAATGCACAACTCCAAGAAAAGATCATTTATTAATTCTCATGTACATTTCACAAGGTATCGGATATGGCAAACTGTTATGGTATTGGTCCCTTTTATTGATGAGGTACTATAATTATGTGATTAAGGAGTGATCAGCTTGCTTGTGATTAATATACATGGTTTATAATAAAATTTTTATATTAGAGCTATGCGGAAGTATTTCTCTGCAAGTCATTGAAACTACTACACGGTCAAATTCAACCTTCAGTCCGACGTATGATTGAGTGGTCGGCGATTTTATTATTGCGTAATAGAAGTTTACATCATTTATTACAGGACTATTACTCTACGGTATAGCAATAGTGACGATTATGTAACAAATTAACGCTAGATACCAAAATTTACTTAATACTGAGCTCTAAAACAAACTCAATCTTAAACTTAAATTAGGCAAATACTGTAAGCAGCTTATGCTCATACCTTGGGATGATATTTCATGTCAGTGTTGCCGCATCTGAAGAACATCAGGTAAGTTATGTATTTAAGTATGATGTAGTTTCCACCTTCAATGTTGTATTACATCACGAATATAACTAAGTAAATTTACTAGCATATAAAACGTTTGCGCGTACAAGTTTAATCATTCGTAATCAACCTAGCTGTTATTGTATCCTATTTGAACAATCATTAAGGCATCTATCATCGAGAAAGCTTTACCACTGATTCTACCACTTGCTCTAGCGAATAATTTCGGAATTCGTTGTTTTGCACAAGCAGTTTTACAGAGAATCTGGCAAATTTGCTTGCAAAACAATTTAACGTTGATTCTAGAGCGCTTTTCCATGATCAAACTCTTATTTGCAGATAAAGAAAATAATTTAGGGTATATTGGTCAATAAATTAAATTGTATCCTATTATTTATATTTAAAGTTAGAAGTTAAAAATTTTAAATACTTCTATAATCTATAATGTGAAAGATATTCGTTTTACAACGTCATTTATGCGTAATTTTTCAGAGATTCTACTAAACAGCGTCAGAAAATCTTAGAAAATTTCTACTTTTCAACTTTCAATCCAATTGAACATTATAGCATTCAGGTATGAATAAATTTTATTTATATACATTCCCTTATTTTTGTACACAATGTTATACGATTCTACATTAGTATTGACTTGGAATTACAGACAATCTTTCAAACGCTTCCTCGGCTAACTTTGGTTTGCGATGACGAATGGATATCTCCAGAATCGTTTATGCAAGTTGATCCATCATTATGGAGTGGAGAACGACAAATAGCGATTTTTAATAGAGATTCTTCCCTTGAAGTTTGTCAACCAGGCAACTTTAAGACTAAAAACGCTGTGTCTAACGATTCCAAGATGACTAATGTATCAGATCTATCAGCAAATGTACAACAGAAAATCACTCCGTGGAAAATATTTCCTACGGACGATGAAAGTTTACTTTCGAAACAACTTACTTTAAGCAACGGTAAAAGCCGAGAAGACGGTTTAATCGTAGTAGCCAGTTTAATAGATAAAGCTGCCAACCTAGGAGGTAAGCTATGATGTGCTAATCTATACTATTTGAATTAAATAGATAACAGGATTATACTCTTCTAGTCAGAGACAATCGTAATTTCTATAGTTTTACTTTTAGTTTATCGGTAACTAGATTAGATAACTTAGATGTATTTATGACATAAATCAATATTATCTAATAATATCTAAATCTTTTATCTTATAAAAATCAGGATTATGCAGGACTTGTGAAATATTAGGAGTATCTCGGCTTGTAATAAGTAATAAAAATTTTATAGAAAATCGAGAATTTCAAAGTCTAAGTGTAACAGCTCATAAATGGATACCAATAGACGAGGTAGTGCGATATTTTGAAAGTACAGTAATGCCTTAACGCGATTTTAAAAATTTTAACAGTATCAGCACCGTGTGAGATTCGTACTAATTACATATGTGCAATTTACTAATATACTAATACATAATTTTTAATTTGTGAAGGTACGGGTGGAAGAATTAGAAGAATACTTAATAAGTATGAAACAGTTAGGCTACTCCGTTGTCGGGGTAGAACAAACTGCCAATAGCGCTGATTTAACGAAATATGACTTTGCTAAAAGATCGATATTATTATTAGGGTAAGTAGAACAAAATAAGTTATCATTTTCATCATTCCATGATTTTTTGGGCGATCTATTACAAAATAACTACAGAATAAGTACTATACATCGATTGCAATTGATTTGGATAATTTCATTTGTTAAAAGTAACGAAAGAGAGGGTATACCGGTTCCGTTATTAAAAATGGTGGATGAATGCGTAGCAATACCTCAATTAGGAACGATACGATCATTTAATGTACACGTTACCGGAGCAGTTCTAATTTGGGAGTATAGCAAACAACATCATTTTTCTAACTCCTTCGAGATAAAATAAGTCAGTAACGATGCTATTGATAGATATGCCTGTATATTGATTATGCTATAAATAAATAATATCAGGTGCTGCTTTTGTTATACATATGTTGTTCTTGATTGACATCGTAATGTGTTTAAAATGTATGATCCTGTATTATTGCCTTGTAGTAAGATCATTCGCCAGATAAAGATCAATCTTTATCTCCGATGTACTTACTGTACGTATATATCTTATACTGTACAACTGTACATGCTATATACTTGTCACAAAATTAACTTGCGAACTACTACCCTAAACTAATAGATTACTTATTCCTATCTCCGCTACACCTGGAGATCTATCGTGTGATAGACTGATAGTCCTATACTACTTACGGTCACACAGGGATAAGACTGTTCTAAGAGTCTAGTATACTTTTTTTAGTAGAGTAGCCGAAACGCTTTCTAATCACGAACGAACAGAGGAGCTGAGCATTCACTCCTCGTTTTATACTCTACCACCAAACTTGTGGTGCACACATAGTAATTTAGCAACATAACATTTACAGGGTTCGTATAGGGAACAACCCTCAATAAACTATATAGTTTACTGTAGATACAACTAGTAAACAACTTTAATTGGCTATAACTAATAAATAGCCAATTAAACGAACGAGGGAGGCCAAGCATGCTACTCGCACGTTTCTCGCACTTCGCGGCGGGTGCTAAGGCGACGCCAATATCAGTATCTATAAAGATTATACTAATTAATTTCAGAACATGCTTACAGTACATCTTTGTAGTCTAACAAAACTATACACGATTAATATTCATAATTACTGTTTACCGCGTACAGTATAGCTAGCTACATAACTGAAATCTACCTAATTAGCATGTACGGTGATTTGCTTCGCAACAATACTGTACAGTGTACATGGGACTGATTCATCTACCTGTAGGAATTTAAAAATATGTTTAATTAAAACAAATGAAATATTCGTATGCACCATTTTACTAAGTTAAATGTGTGGCTAAACTGCCGTTAGTTCTTGCTTGTTGGTCCAAATCTGATCTATCATAAATTAATGTACAGCTCGGTCAACGAATCTAATCTAATTTCAAAGAAGCAGCAGAACACTAATCAACTATGTATTTCTTTTTTGTAATTATAATAAGGTACTATTTCCAGCCCTACTATGAAATAGTAACTCAATAATTCGTCTCACAATGTAACGGTTAAAAGGAGTTTATTACTTCAAATTATTGCTGAATACTACAGTACTAAACTTGTTAGACTACCTAACTACACTCAGCTAGCTCTTAGGCTACAGACTGAACTCCCCCCTAAGCCGACTACCGAGGCACCATGCATTCTCACCTAAGGCTACGCCTATCGTCTCTAAAACTATCCATTAACAGAATACGACTATCTTTACGCCTAATTGTAATCTTTGGCACCACTAGTCTACTCAGGTCTAGCGCCGTTATCTAACTTATGATTACCAGTGGTCTCACTATAGAATCTATTTTCCTAAAGTAATCATATGAACGAAATTATCAAAATCGAGTTACAACACCCTAGAACATTCCGTAAATGAAACCATACCGCATTCTAGCGTTAGCTTTCTAGAAGCGTGATTTTGTAGCAACATGTTAACTATATTGAGGAAGGATCCATAAATCAAAGATACCTAATTATCCTTCAGCTCTTCTAGTTAACAAATTTGAATTATCAATTAACTCATCCAAATAATTTCGTGTATTCGGTAGTAATTCATTAGATTTAGAATTTATACATGAATGGAAATGATGAATCGATGATTTCAGAATAGAAAAAGCATCAGATATTTTATTCAACTGGTGTCAATAGAAACCTTAGGGGGAGTGTGCTTAAAATTAAGCTTTAATAGAGATATCTTGATTCGAGGATTTCAGAAAAGAAAAGTATTTGATCATTTATTCAATCAGTGTCAATAGAAACCTATAGGAGTAGGCTTGATATTAAGCTTTCATAGAGATATCTTGGATCGAGAATTTCAGAATAGAAACGTATTAACAGTACATCATTTATTCAAGCGGTGTCAATAGAAATCTGAAGGAGTAAGCTTGAAATTAAGCCTTCATGGAGATATCTTGAATCGAGAATTTCAGAATAGGAAAGTATTAAATCATTCATTCAACCAGTGTTATCGGTAAGCTAATGGAGTAGGCTTGAATTTGCGAACAATTAATTGACGTCAAGAAATACGAGTGGACAAGCATTTACATCTTCTGAAATGCTGATTAATATCAATCGTAATTACTAATTGGGATAAACTATTTATAATGGAATGCTCATGAGAAGAATAGGACCTGGACTCTATTCATTGGACTCTATTCATGATCGAACAATTAATTCGGGGCGCCCGAGATTTATTTGTTACTTTTTGTGTTATAGTAGCTAACCTACAACGAATAGCAAGCTATGGACTGACTACTGTGTAACGTACACCAATAGGACACTGGCAGAAGATTAAAAACTCTTCACTATCGTTTCAGCCCTATAAATATGCTCTTAGTATGAGAAGAATTTTACTTGTGGCGAAGTGAATTCCTGTTGGCTATGATCGTTACTACCTGTAGGTAGCTACCATAAATAGTATTGGAAAGCATCATCATCAAATACTCGAAACTATTTGACTTATAGTTTTATCGTTTGGACTCTTAAGCTTCAGTTACCGGTACTGTTACATCGCCGTCTCATTCTATTAAAACTTTTCAAAAATATCTCTATACTTTAAGGACGTACACTTAGCTTCGTAGTCTATCATTTTGTACACATTTAATGTCGACATTTCAACACCGTAGTTAAGAAAATATTAATCTAGTTTGGTAGCCGATATTCTTCTAAGGTAACATTCAATCTGTATTTACAGTTTACAAATAACAAAATGGATATCAAGAAACCAAGATTTACTATTGGCATTAAATTACTCCTTTTAATTTTAATGGTTACCCATATCGCTGATATGAAAGTCACTACTTCTACGGAGAGTTATCATTATCCTAACCCTACGAATGAACAACTAATGCAATCGTTAGAAGGATTTGTTCAATACTTTGAAAACAACTATAAATCTTTCATATTTGGTGCTTATTATGGGCTAGTTCGATGTGGAGGTGTTATTTTTAAAAATTTAGATTAACAGTTAAACAAAAGTTGCGCGTTATGTTATTGTAGGAAGGAAGTTCAGTGTTTTAATTTTAAGAGTTACAACAGCCGTAAGTTTACTCAGGGACTTCTATGAGAAGTCTCTGATTTACTCTTTTCTAGCAGTCTTTAATACGTATTATGGACAACATTATCGTCATTTACGTATCGAGATGAACATAGAAGTGAATATTTTTATCGCTAAATATCGAAAGAACTCAATACAGTAACGGCATGGAGCTAGTCAATATATGATTATACTTTAGTTACTACATCAAGTTTTTACTATTGCGTGTGAAACATATCAACTATTCTGTATGAACGATTACAATCATTGTAGAGTGGTACTATTCCCTATGGAGTTTTAAATCTATAGAAGATGTTGCGAATGTACGCGTATGTGTTAGGTTATAATAAAGAAGAAAGAGCTGGAAAAGTAGTTGTTCACTTTCAGCTTTCCTGTACGATTTCTACAGTTAGTTAGTTACCGTAGATAGATTTTAATCATCACCAGTTTACTTTTAACTTAATCAGTGAAATAGCATGTAATACAGTATATAAGGTGCTGACCTAGGTATTTCTAATGAACTCCGTAACTACTGTACTGTACTGTATACAGATATATTACACAAACTGTTAGCAACTGAATTCACGCACAGATTAATCAATAGCAAATGCCTTATTACTAAATCAGTAAAACGTTTTATAATTCGTAACCATTCTGCCTTGACCATTTCTTATTGCCTTAATTAACCGCAGCATATACGTATATACGAGTATCTTTATGTTTATAAAGTCACCAGTCTGTATCGTGCTTTGATGATTGTAGAAGTAGTCTTTTAGTAACAATCTATAGACAGAAATCGATTCCAAAACAATAAAATAAACTTCAGAAGACAACAGTAACTAACGTATTGAAATGAAATTTACGTTACGAAAGTTGGAAATAAGAAAAATGAATTAAGTCAATCAGGCCGATATTAGATTGAAGTATTATGTCTGTTTAGCCTTAAAAAAATAAAGCATTTGATTAAGTAAACCATATTTAGATCATTCTGTTTTCGGGTGATTATACTTTATTATCTTTCATTCATATTTTATTTCTTCTACTATATTAGTCGATCTTGCACACCTATTATTAATGATTGACTTACGGGCGATTTTATTCAATTTTATTTTTATTTTTCAAGAATACGTAAAAGCAACTCTTGACGACTACTATCGCGGATTATCTATTCTAAATGTTCAACAACTTAATCGTATAAAACAAATCCATAAAAGAATTATTGATGTATCGAAGAAAATTCAACCAATTTTGGCTAAGAACTCACAGTCCTATCGCCAGCTTCATAAATTGACACAAACTCCAATTACAGTGCCAGAAGGACTCGTTAGTCTAAATTTTACAGAACTTCATCATGTTGTACTCCACGACGGCTCGCCCGAATCTAAAAATTGGGAGAACATTTCGGATTCATATTTGCATATGATTTCAGGTTCAGGAAATTATCAAGTGTGCACAATTACAAGTAAGCTGATAATTATTATTAAATATTAATTACGTCATTTCTTCTTCTTCTATTTTCCGTCAGTCTAAATATAAAATATCAATATCAATTAGTTTCATCAACCTTAAATTATATGTAAACTCAATTTGACTTCTCTTTATTAACGAAGATACCAGTTGGGCAGACATAACCAATTATCATACTGACGGCTATATCATTACCCATCAAATGTTAAATATTCTCACTGGTCAGCAATTTAACTGCACTGAGAAAATGGATAAGCTAGCTAAAGACTTAGGAGGAATCAAAAAAGTGACAGAAGTACTATGCACTCAAATTTATAATGAGATGCAGCAAGAATTAAAGAAAAGCTTAACATTTGTCCCGCTACAAGATTTATTTTTAGAGCAAATGTATACGTGCGGAGCTTGGGGCGGTTACCGAGAATTTCTGAACATGGAATATTTATCTATGTTTTTAAATTGGCAAACTACAGCAGGATGTATTGCAGCCTATTATGGTCCATTCGTTAGTTTACATCCCAATATGACTAAAGAGTATGTTATTGCCTTGAAATAACTAACAGCATCATCATTTGCGATAGATTATATTAATTTCGCATACCAGTATCCATACTTAATGCAGACTTTATTTCATATAAATTAATGTTCGATAACTATTAAACGTCGACAATGAATCATTTGTTATTCGTATTTTCTATAGCTATACTGAAGATGATAGCCGGTATTTATTTGCGTCTGATCAGCTACTAATAGACAAGACTATAACAGGTAGAAATTAACTTCTAATCAATTGTAATATTTTAATTCAGATGTACAATCACTGTAAGATCACATGCATATTCGTTTAGATTAGAGTGATTAGCTTAAAAAGTAAATGCAATTTCATGATATTTTAGATTTTTTTCCCTTAGATCAATTTAACTATTAACTTTAAAAGTAGAATCTTTGATAAATATACCATCATGATAGTGATATATTATTGGATACCTTGTAAACCTATCAAGTTCATAGAATAGGTTGCTTATCCTAGCTAACTTTATATCGTGTTGTAACATGAGAAGCAATTGATAGCTCATTTTATTATTTTAATCTTGAATGAAAGTGCCTAAAATGAAATTTATTGATTAATGTTGCAGTAATTGTGTTAATTTACCTTCAAAAATTATAGGTGATTGCGATCAACATACTACGGCTATAGGAATGAGTCTAGTAGCCGCATTCTTACATTTAGGTTCTCTTAAAAATCAACCGTTATACTTACACACACCGAAGACTTCGGCGATTCCAGCTCATAACAGGACGTATCTAACATTTATTATACTTGGTGTTACTATTGGTATAATAGTTATCATTGTAATGCTTATGGTATTTTTAAAGGTGTACTCCCGTTATTCCCTTCGTAATAAAGAGTACGCTTATCAAAAAGTGAAGAATAAAGAATAAATATTTCATGTAAAGAAATAAAGAGCTAGATACAATGTACGGTACTAGTCTTCTATATCAAAATTATGCCTACTACTGTCTTGATAAATTGATTGTAATATCTTTTTTTTAACGAAAAGTAACACATGCACAAGAAATAACTTGTTCGGTCGAATTTCGTCTTCTATAATTTCCAATTTAATAACCATCTGTATAATAAACTGACGAGACGAAGTAAATTTATAGTTTTATAATTATTAGACCTAAATACGCATAAACTCGGTAATAACGTGCTTTCTAAATATCGTAATTAATTTAGGTAGTATCTCGATAAACAAAGCGAATTTTATATTAGTGCATATAAAATGTTACAATAGCAATTAACTTAATCATCTCTCTTTTAATTTATTATATGAATTGCTGATGTGTCATTCGAATATTGTATTTTCAATTGTGTTCTTAAGTTATATCTTTTATTAATATGTAGTTATAGTGCTTCGTTTGTAACGATAAATTTCATCAAAATCGCGTTAGAAGTAAATTTCACATGATTTATATACACGAATGTGAGGTATTTGCCTCTGGGTTCCCTGGTTGGCATATACTTCAAGCAAATATTTGAGTATTATTTAATCATGTATTATTTTTCAATAAAATTTATGCACTACTGATGTTTACTAAGTAGGAATTCAATTCAACTGAAAAGGAAAAGCAAGCAATCTAATATTGAGACTCTAGCTATATAGAGAACTATCTACGCATAAAACAAGTTATTATCGTTATCTAAATTTAGATTTTATAGCAGCAATAAATAATTAAAAGCTTCTCTTACATTATCGTGCATCTCCAAAGTCTCTTATCTAAATTAATATTTCGGGTCTCAATATCGAATATGTAATTACACCCATAATATCAAAGCATACTAATAACAGCTTCTACTCTAAAATTAATATTAATAACCAACGCCACCAAGTACATAGGGACTGTTTTAGTCATTGATTTCTTATGGTTAATAATAATCTAGTAACTTTAATATTTTGTAAAATCAGAATTAAACAAAATTATGTACATTGAGGGCATCTCGAATGAAAACTTTAGAGTAAGAATAATTCCACTAGTATCAAAGTACCTCATCTACAGTAGTCTTGGAGTCAATGGTACCTATATAACCAACATTAAAATATAATGTACGAATGCAGTAATATTGCACGATACTATTTTACACAGCAATATCAAGTGTAACATGGCATAGTACGGTGTCTTCGGCTAAATGCAGCTCGTTAGCAAAAATCAAATCTGTACTATCATGTTATCTAGTAGCTACTGTACGAAATCATTGCTGGGCAAGATAAATAAGATTGCCCTTAACATGAAGGATGATTAATAAGACGAATGAGATGATAAAAGTATGCATTATCAGAAGCGCCATAGTTTGAGTCTGAAGAGGTTATAAGTTACTATGTTATAGTTGAGTGTACAGGAGTTGACTAGTATATCGAAAAAATAATTATGATCCATTAATATCTAATGAATATGCTAATGTAAATCGATCATTTAAGCTATTATATACAGGATTATCATAGAAACAATAAAAGCCTTAGTAATGTCGGAAATGGAACAATGAAATACTTGTCTATAAGAATAATTAAAATTTGGACTATATTCATCATTGAGTAGGGTAATTAAACTAAAGGCCCCCTCGGGCTAATTCGTCATAAATCACGTCATTGTAGAAAAATCTCACTGTGGTACGAAGAGATGAAGTGATTGTTAAAAAATATTCATTAAATAATACTATCTTATTCTTGTCTACTTCAATAGTTAGATGTAAGGCTCTCCATTGGTATCTAGAAATAGCCCTTTTAGTGTAACAGCAGTTTTGTATACGGCGAACTTCGATTAATACTAATCGGCGCTACCTGTAGATAGTCTTTCCTATTAGTCTATTTTAACCTTTTACTATCCTCGTATTACCAGTAAAGTGCTCTAAATCAATTAAAATATACATTCTTTCATATAGCAGTATTAGTTTGTAGTTCGATAGTTTATAGATGTGAAAGTTAAGTCGCAGTCACTAAAATTATCCTACTAGTCTCTCATTTAGGTAAACCATAACTATAGCTTATCGTGTAATCATCTTCTATACGTTCAAGTTTGATATACAACGTAATATTAAAGAAACATATTGATATAATTCACTAAGTGCTATTCATAGGAGATAATTTAATTCTGTGTGACACAAAAAATAAAATGGATGTCAAGAAATTGAGATTGACTTCCACCATAAAGTTATTTTTCTTAATTTTTATGATTGTCGATCTCATTGATATCGAAGCTACTACTTCTACTAGCAGCTATCACTACCCTGTAGTTACCAATAACCAGATGATTAAATCTTTGGAAGGAATAATTCAATACTACGAAAATAATTATCAACATATCATACTTGATGGATATTTTGGATTTACTGGAAGTAAAGGTATTCTTTTCCGATGTCTAGATCGATATTATTAATAGCCAGTAGCATTCTAGTCGTAAACGTGTGATTTGACGAAAATGGGGGATTTCAGACTATAACAGTACTAGATTTTTTTCTTTCTTACGATATTACATAATATTATATCATAGAATATACTATATTAATGATTATTATTACTCATAAATCTCAACTTATACAGGAATTGATATTTTTATCTTCTGCTAAATATTTATTATAAGCAAAGTTGTCAAGTTAATGTGATACTCAGTTATAATTATTAGGTTTATTTATATTGTGATCATAATATAGTGCAACTACAGCATACAGAGTACAATCGACACGATTGTAAAAGTATTCTCTACGGACCGCAAAACAAGTTTTAATTCTATAGGGAGTGATTAAAAACTTTAGATTAGACTATATTACATGATATTATTTGTACAAATCTTCTTTAGCCTACAATAGTAGAAATAACACAGAATATAGTTGCTCAGGGTCAATTCCTTTTCTATCATGGGAATGATAGAATCACTAATACTGTAAAGAAGAATTGACGATTATCAATTTACTTATACCTTGATCGGTGAAGAAAGGCGTTGTATACGGTCTTATGTTAAGTACTACTTATTCTATCGATAACTGAAGTAATATATTCCGCTATATATCAGCACTGCACATTTGTACAGCTTTCTGCCTCTAAACTCATCGATCAGTGTAATAATACATTCGATTGATGATCTTAGTGAATATTAAAAAAAAGTGCAAGACGATAAATTACTGACTGGGCATAAAGTTTCGAACAATTCTAAAATAGCCTAGATTATAACGTAATGTATCACTAGCATATATCCGAGATAGACATGGAGAACTGAACTAGTCATAAAACTATAAAATATCATTTTATCATTCCTTGATTTACTGTACATTACAAATTTAAAATTATTTGAAGTTTTCATGCACAGAAATAGCCTCTCAATAAATTTACCTGTTAAGATATTAATTAAAGTACTGTAATTTGCTCTTTGTGACGTATTTTTGAATAACATAGAAGTAAATCTTTAGCAATAGTTCAAAGTCTAGCCGTTATAGGTACTTTGAGAATAATTTAGAATCACAACCTAA